TTTTTTTTTTTTTTTTTTGATAGCTGGGATTGAACTCAGGACCTTGTGCTTTTCTAGGCTGGCCTTATACTGCCAGCTATCTCCCTGGTCCTAGTTTGTGGTCTTAACAATTGAAAAATGTCAACATTTCTACATATAAGGTCAGTAGTTCCAGTTTTCTTGAGTATCTAATGTTTGTTTATCCATTGTCTGAGGACATGAAATTTTGCGGAAGGAAAGGTTGGTGACAATTTAGTTTATTGCTCTATCTGTAACTTGATCTTTTTCCTGGTTGTTTAGAGATTTAAAATAAAACAACTGAAACCTGATCACTTTGCTGGGCTATACTCTGATATTACCAGACACGCACGACTGATTTCCTGAGCACACAGAACACAAGGCAGAGAGCGCTCGACAGGCTTTTGTGGAAACAGCAGGTTCTGGACAGGGTGCAGGTAGCCTGGCTGCTGGGAGCAAAGCGAGCAGGCCCTTCTGCCAGGAACTGAAGAGGCAGTGGATGCTGGCTGGGAAGGTTTGGCACACCCGCTGGCTGTCACACATCTCCGTGGACAAAGTCCTCGAGTGTCTGGTGTAAGCTTTTTGGGTCTCTCCAGATGTCCAGGAACTTGTAGAGTCCTTGTCCCATCTCATCTCTCTTATGACATCTTGTGCTTGCCAGCGACAGTCTTGGTGTTGAGCTGAGTCCCCCCTGAGACCAGGGCTGGCAAACAGGCTGGGTGCTGGGAGAGCCAGGTCCGACTCCAGCCTCACACCGAGTATACCGCTACTATTTTATTTATTTTTTCAATATATTTGGTTGTTACAGAGTCTTACTATGCAGACTCATAGTGATCCTCCTTTTTCAGCCTCGCCAGTGCTGGGATTACAGGCGTGCACCACAACGCCTGAACTCTGGCCGCTCAGCCTGCCCTGGGGCGGGGCTGGTGCGACCTGTGGTCCCTGTGGTCCCTGCACTTGCCTAAGCAGGCGCTTTAGTCTCTTATTTCTTGAAATAAGAGATTTGAGTTTCTCTTATTTCAAGAAATATTCTTTAATTTGTAATTTTTAGTACTCATTTTATTCCAGTATTTAGTTTTCTTCTCAGCTACTCATAGTGCATCTATCTTGGGTCCTTTCTCATGTCTTCTGCATGGCTGCCGTCTCACAAATCTTCCTTCTGTCGTCATTTCTCCTTCTTTTCTTTCTCTCCTTTCCTTCCACCCCTCTTTTCCTCCCTTTTTTCTTTCCTGCCTTTTTGCTTACTCGGGATGATTTGCATTCCACCTCTACCGCTGTGGTGTTTATTCACTTCCAGGTTTCTTTAGATTAGTCTTCCTTTCTGAAGTGATTTATTTCCCGATTGATAAAGATATAATTGGCAAATAAAATTTATATACATTTAAGGTATAACAGTACTGATGGTTGGATATGCATATGCACTGTGGAAGATCACCACAATCACGTTAATTAGCACATCTACCTCCTTCTTAGGACTGTGAGGAGAGCCCTTAGTAGGTGTTCTCTTTCGTAGTGACTGTACCCAGTCATATTGTCAACTGTGGTCAAATATTGCGGTGAGTGAGTATGGCTAACTGCACTGCCTGCTGGAGGTGACCGAATCTTTTCTAATTTGCTCCTAACTTCCGCCATCTCATTTCTGAATTTTTCCACTGTGATTGACATTGTCCCTCCATCCCTCCTGCCACTAAGGGAATTTCTTATTAATTCATCCCGTCCTAATCACTTTTCTCTTGTTGCTGACACAAACTACCCAACACCCAAAGTTAAAGGGAGGAAAGGTTTATTTAGCTCACAGTTTGTGGAGGTTTCCGTCCACAGTTCCCTGGCTCCGAGGTAGGGTGGCACATGGCAGAGGGCAGCCGTTTACAGCAGCGGAAGACAGCAGAAGTGGCAAGACGCGGACCTTTTCCCGGCAGGCGGAGGGTAGCACAGCACCTAGGGAAGGAGAGACACGCCTCTTCCCGTCCCTTGCATTGCACGCAGGCTCCTGCGCTCCGGCGGGTGTAGCACTCACACCCTCAACCCCAGCCAGAACCGTGCCAAACCTCGGTGCACTGAGTTTCATCACACACGCTAATCCTAGCACCGCATGGCCACCAGGTTAAGCCGCCTCTGGACAAGCCCGATGACCCCTGAGGCTCTGCGGGATCTAAACGCAAACCATAGCGGATCCAGAGCTGACGTCACCCAAGCAGGCCCAGCCATAGCAAATCAGATGCACCCCACTCGTGTGAGCTTTGGGCCCCTCCACATCACTGGAATCAGCAAGAAGCCTTCAGAGAGGGGCTGGGGTGCGGCTCAAGGTCGGGCGTCTGCGCAGCAGCGCTGGGCCTGGGCTCCCTTCCCTAGTACCAACAGAGAAGCCTCGGGAAGAAGTCTTGGGCAAGCCCGAGGTGGTGGGCATTCCCGAGCTGCCCAGGAACATGAGACCTGGCGGCGATGTGATGCAGGATGCAACTGAGATGCCGTGACCGCTCTTTGCCTACAGTGTAGCCACCGCAAGTTCCTGGACAGGGCGCCGCTCTCCCACACTGCCCACTGTCCACAGGCTCCAGCCTGGGCTTGAGGTGGTGTGTGCGTGTGCGTGTGCATGTGTGTGTGTGAGTCTGTTGGGAGGCCAGCATGAAGCCTGTGGAAGCTCAGCCTGGTGACCCAGGAACTGGACCAGCGGGAGCCTGCGTGGCCTCTTCCTCCTTTCTTGAGGCCCCCTGTGGCCTGGGTACTCTGAGATCCGGTTTCCAGCTTCCCGGAGGCTCACGACCTGGCCCGAAGGACAGACTCTGTGTTGACAGCGTCCTTTCATTTTTCTTTCTCTGGTTTGCGGAGTTAGGCGATGGACTTCCCAGTGACTGACAGTGTGCTAGCTGCGCAGGACGAGGCCCGCTGCCTGCGGCTGGAGCTTATTTGCGGATGTTTTAGGAAATAAATCTGGGAAAGCATTTGTGATTCTTTGAGGTTGACTTGCAGAAAGAAGATGACTATATTTTAGATTTATTTTATTCCCTTTTATTATAAAAGTAATCCATGTTTGTTTGACACAAGCCTAAAACTACAAAATGACAAGCTCCTGCGGTCTTATCTCCTGAATCCTAGCAAGATGCCCTTTCTGGGCGTTGTTGTCCCCGACTTTCCCGGCGCACGCGTAGATGGATGGAGAGGTCGGAGAAGATACAAAATCAGTATTAAAATGAAAATTACGTTAGCCATCCTTTTTTATCAATCCTGGAACGATATGTAGCAAAGAAACACATTGTCACATTCATCAATTCAGACAATGCAACTTCGTGTTTGAACATCTATATATCGTTCCGGAGGTTTGATGGCCACTAATTTATAAAACTCATTCTCTATTAATGAGTATTTAGAGCGTTTCTGTTAGTGCCTTGTAAATAGCACCAAAATGCTCTTATCCACATGCAGTCGCTGAGTGGCCCTGTTATTCCACGAGCAGAAAGTATTGGAAGGGATTTAAGAACACTGAAGTGCAAGGATTTATGTGAAGCCAGAGCTTTCTCTTTAATCTTTGACTACTTGACAAAACAAAACAAAAAAAAATGTGAATTTTAATTAGGTTTAAAAAATTACCAATAAGTTCGAGCAATTTTCATATATTGATTTTTTTTTTTAGGTTACCTGTCTCTAACCTAAGTAGTCTACTTTATATTTATCTTATTGATTCGTAGGGGCTAATCATATATCATAAACATTGATGTGTGTTTCTTATGTACATTAACAATAGTTTTCCCCACTCATTTTTTTTCCTGCATTTTTAGGGAAGGGTCTACAGGGTGTTCAGGGTCTCATTACTAAATCGAACTTGTAGTGGTCCACCTGTTTACAGCCTCCCAAGAGCTGGGATTACAGGCGCGCACCACCACGCCCAGTCTCAATTGCCATCTCAGTGCGCCCTGGGGGCAGGGTCGGCATGGCAGGCCCGGGGATCGAACTCCCAGCCCCTGGCCTGCTTGCAGATGCTTTAATCCACTGAGCTATTTGGCCGGCCCTCCCCACTCATTTTTCTTTCACTGTTATTTGTGCAAATTTTAACCAAACAAAAATTAAGTAGTATTTATATCGTCAGACATACCCATTGCCTAAATGACTTGTAGGTTTATATTTTCCTTGGAAAGTTCTTCTCTCAGAAAGATTATATAATATGTAATAGTCATCCTAATTTTCTTCTACAACTTTTATGGTTTTATTATCTATTTGATGTACATTTCATTCTGTCTAGGGTTATCCCAGAATGATAGTGTGTAGAAGACTGATTTTTTTTTTGCAACATATTTGTCCAGTTTTTATTTGTTTTGCTTTTTTCTTTTTAAAGACAGGACCTCTCTGTGCAGTTCAGGCTGGCCGTGAGCTTCCTGCGTATCCCAGACTGGTCTGGAACCCACAGCAATCCTGCCTCAGTCTCCAGAGTGCTGGGATTACAGGTGTATGCCACCACGCCGACTCATCCAATTATTTCAAAGAATTTATTAGATAGTTCATCTTTTTTTGGTTTATTCAAATCTTAATTTTACAAAGAGATGAACATTAAAAGGCAGTGGTGGGCTGGGGAGAGAGCCCTGTGCTCTAAGTGCCTGCCCAGCAGGCACAAGGACCTGGATTTGATCACTGGTACCACATGCTGTGCCAGCCCCACAACCCCGGTGCACCGTGCAGGCCACTGAAACTGGGTGCAGTGGTACACACCTGTAATCCCAGCACTGTGGAGGCTGAGACAGGAGGATCCTTAGGAGTCGGGGCTGCATAGTGAGACCCTGTACCAAATAAATAAATAAATGATTAAAAAATTAAAAGGCAGTGGTAGTGCAGTGTAGCTCCAACCATGTGAATAAACTGTTTTCTTTTCATAGAGGTCTCAGCAGAGAACCAGCAAGCCAGAACTTTCAAGCGAGAACCCTTGCTCAATTACGTGTCATCTGAAGAGGGTGGGAGCAGCTACTCCTTGGATGACATCGAGAGGACCTTCTGCCAAGAGGTAGAGTGTTCTCCTAAAGCATTTTGCCAAACATGCGACCACAGCCGGGCGAACAGCTGTGACAAGCTCTAGGGGTAGATAGGAATTTCTAAAATTTGTTTTGACCCTACCTACTTCTCCTCAACCCGAGAGACCTCCTTCCCAATCTCCTAATAACCGTGACACACTGGTGGCAGCAGCGATGAGCAGTTGTCAGCTGTCCCTCTGTGCCACACGCTGCCAGCTCTAGCAAGAAATATGTAAACCTTATGTAATGACTTGACACGACTTGGTTGAATAACATGAAAGAACACTGGAACAAAGGAAGAGGTCTTCCCTGCTTCTTACTGGAAGATTTGATGTTTAACGCCTGCTTTCCCTGTATGTGGATATATAGGTTCTGTCTGAAAATTTGCAATAAGGCTGGCCAGATAGCTCAGCGGATTGAAGTACCTGCTTAGGCAGATGCAGGGGCCAGGGGTTCGATCCCAGCCTGCTGTGCCGGCCCGCCCCCACGGTGCACTGAGACAGTGATGGATACTGGGCGCGGTGGCATGAGCCTGTAATCCCAGGGCTTGGGAGGCTGAAAAACAGTCTTATCTGTGTCGTGAGACCCTGTGCTAAATATATTTTTAAAGAAAGGTTTACAATAGTGGGCTTGTCCTAT